TCACAGGAGATCAACAAATAAGACCTGATTACATGTTATTTACAAGAGACCCACTATAAGTATAAAAATACATTCAAAATAAAAAGTAATGGAACAATTGTATGCTAACATTAATTAAAAGAAAGCAGGACTAACTAAATTAATTTCACACGGAGAAGAGTTTAAAGCAAGGAAAATTACCATGGATTTTTTTTAAAAGTGTGTTACATAATGTACTCCCAAAAGAATATTTAATAATCCTTTATGTATTCATACCTATCAGAAAATCAAACTACATGAAGATAAAGATGCTAGAAATACAAGGCGGAAACAGATGAATCCACTGTCATAGTTGAAAATTTTAACATTCCTTTATCAGAAATAGATCCATCAGGCAGAAAGAACATAGTTGATCTCAACATAGTTTAACCAAATGGATATAATCAATGTCTATAGATCACTTAATCAACAACCACAGAATACACATTCTTCTTCAGCACAAGGAACATTCATTCTAGACCACATTCTGGGCCACAAAACATACCTTAAATTAAAAAAAAGTAGAAATTATCTAATGTCAATTCTCAATTAAACAGGAAATTGATAACATAAAGACAACTGGAAAATTGTAAAATATGTGAGGATTAAACAACACACTACTAAATAACATATACATCAGAGAAGAATTTTCAAGAGAAAATTTAAAGCATTTTGAACTAAATAAAACAATTTATCAAAACTTTCGGGATATAATGAAAACAATACTTAGAATATATAGCATTGGATGCACACATTAGAAAAGAAAAAAATCTGAAGTCAATATTTAAGATCCTACCTTAGGAAACGTGGAAAAGAAGAATAAACTAAATCCAAAATAAACAGATGAAAATAATAAAAATTAAAAGAAAAGTCAATGAAATTGAAAATCGGGCATCAACAAAACCAAAAACCTATTCTTCAGAAATATCAATAAAATTTATAAGTTTCTAGCCAGGTTCACTAAGAAGATAAAAAGAGAGAGAAAGAAGACAATTTACTAATATCAGAAATAAAGGAAAGAAATGACTACAGACCCCAGGGACGTTAAAAGGATAATAAAGGAATACAAAGAACAACAATGTGTCCACAACTTAATAACCTAGATAAAATTGACCGATTTCTTTTTTAAAATTTTTTTTTGGTAGTTGTAAATGGACAGAATGCCTTTATTTTATTTGTTTATTTTTATGTGGTGCTGAGGATGGAACCCAGTGCCTTACACGGCTAGGCAAGCGCTATGCTGCTGAGCTTTAGCCCCAGCCCAACCAATTTCTCAAAAGACACAATCTACTCAAATTCATATAAGAAGAAATAGACAATCTGTATTGGCCTATATGTATTTTATAAATTGAATCAATAATTAATAAAACTCCAAGAAAGAAACAACTGGGTGTGGGTGTTTTCACTGCTGATACCATTCAAATATTTAAGGAAGAAACTATAACAGTTCTAGAAGATAGAAACAATGGGAACATTTCCTCTATCATTCCATGAAGCTAGTGTTGTCCTCATACTACAACAGTGAATGACATTGCACAAAAAGGAAGACCAATATTGTCCCTGAAAACAGATGCCAAAATACTCAACAAATTCAGCAAATTGAATACAGCAATGTGTAAAAATAATTAAGCACCATGACCGAATCAGATTTATCCCAGTTATGCAAGGCTGGTTTAATGAATCAACAGGCTAAAAAAGAAAAAAAATGTGATATTTATAAAAAACATATCTGATGAAGAACTCTTCCAACATATACAAAGATACTCTTGAAATTTAAATAAGAAAACAACCTGATTAAGAAACAGACCAAAGAACTCCGCAGTTACTTCTTCAAAGAAGGTATGTAGGTGACAAATAAATATGTTATATGCATATTCAGACATGACACAATGAAACCCACAATTCTGTACAATTAATTTGCACTAATAAAAAATTTCCCCACAGACCACATGGACCAAATGTCTGCAGAAAATTCCATCCAACAGTTTCAGAACAACCATTTTCCTCATCAGCACAGGGAACGCTCTCTTGTACGGATAACATACAGAACATGGAATAAGCCTCAACAATTTTTTTTAATTAAAATTATATTGAGTATTTTTCCTGACCACAGGGCAATAAAAATGTAAATAAAAAAAGAAGAAAACCTTAGGAAATTATGTAAACAAACACAATTTGCTCCACTTCTGGTGTCACTATAAAATACAAATTAAAATGACAATCAGATAACAATATAGAACTATCAGAGTAGTCAAAATGTAGAACACTGAAAAAACAAAATGTTAGTGAGGATGTGAAGCAACAGGAATTCTTATCCGTTGATGGGAATGAATGGTACACACTTTGGAAGAGAGATGGTTGGTTTCTTATAAAACTAAACATATTCTTACCATATATTCCAGGAATTACACTCCTTGGTTTTTACACAACAGAAGTGGAAACTTATTTTCACACAAAAACCTATACATGCATATTTATAGCAGTTTTATTCATAATTGCCAAAATATAAAAGTAATGAAGAAATTCTTTAGTATGTGTACATATAAACTGTAGAATACCCAAGTGATAGAATGCTATGGACTGCTTAAAAAAAAAAAAAAGAGCTATCAAACCATGAAAAAACATGAAGGAAACTTAAAAGCATGTCAATAAGTGAAAAAAGCCAATCTGATAAGGCTGATTTCAATTATATGCCTTTCTATAAAAGGCAAAACTGTGGAGACTGTTAAAGGGTTAGTGGTTGCCAAGTGTTGGGTAAGTGGCTGACTAAGCAGAGAACAGAGTATTTTAAGGGCAGTGAAATTACTCTGTATGGCACTATCATAATGAATACATGTCACTATTCAGCTGTCTCCACTCACAGAAGGCACAACACCAACAGTGAAGTTTGATAGAAATTGCAGACTTTAGCTGGAATAAGTGAGCTAGATAGAAAACTGGAGCTATAGCTCATACTTACCTTCAGGGTTGTTTATTCTGGGAGGATATGGCACAAAGGGAAAAATTTTACCTTTGCCCTCTTATTTATGTTTTTGGGTGATAAATACATTGCTTTTGTGCCATTAAAGAATTTTCGTTCGAATATGGAGGCACAAAAATATTGAGTAGAAATGACAAATAGTGAAGGTGAAGTATATACTGACACATTCTCTATAACCTAATTGGTCCAATACAAAAATTGAAGAAAAGGGGTCACAAATGATAATCAAAATATGTTGTTGTTACTTAAATATGTTCATTATCCATTCATACTTTTATACATTTATACCTGCTAAGTCTATGTGAAAATCAATAACGTGTATTTGTGTGTGTGCATATACACAAGCAAGTATAGGAATCCCGTGGTGGCTAGATACTGAATAATTTGATCTGAAGGTGAATTTTTAGAGGTGTGAAATACGGAAGATAATTAAATAATTCATTTATGAAACCTTGCTTGCCATAATATTTGAGGGTATTAATATTATAAAAATCCACAGTTACTTTAGCAGTACAGAATAGAGCTGAGAACTTGGAGTCTGGAATCCAGCTGCCCCAGATTAGACCCCTCTCCACCCCTTACCAATTTGAGGCTAGGGGAAGTTAATCGCCCTGTGTATACCTAGATTTTTGTTTTTTTTAATCTGTAAAAGGGCAATGATAAAATCTGACTGATAATTGTTATAAGGAATAAATCCATTAACAGAAATGAAACACTAGATTAGTGTCTGGCAGATGGTAAGCGTTCAATAAATGTCAGCCTCTATCATTTTGTGTCTTCTTTATCGGGCTGCAGGTAATATACTTGACACACACTGCAAACTGCCACCTCCCAGCCTCTTCTCTAAACATGCTGTAAGAAATCACTCTGAAAATCATATTGCAACCAATTTGCTGTCACTTTGCTAGATACATACAAGTGAAATCATTGTAACACAGTATATTACCCCTAGAATGTACTTCAACTGCATTAACCTTTTCCTCATGACTATCATTCTGCTTAAACTTTATTCAAACATTTCATCAGAGCAGACTTTAGCAGATATCTCTGAAAACAAACGGATTTCATGTTCTCTGGACAAAGATAAAAAGGACTTGATATAACACTACTGCAATTGAATATAATCTGGTCATTATTCAGCTGGATAAATTACAATTTCAACTAAGTAAACAAAAATTTTAATATTGTTGAAAAGTGGCTGTGACTGATTTCCTGACTTCTTTAAGATTTCCCTTTATGAGGTTTACAGGCTTTGTCTTGGTTTAAAAGGTTTTCAATTTACAAAGTAGGTGACTTCAGGCAAATTTCTCAACTTAGTGCTAAGTTTGGTTTCCTCTGTTGCACTGTGACCAAGGAGGAGTTTCTCCTATTTATGAAAGTGTCAATATAATTTAATGACCCACAATTTTGTGACAAATGCAAAAGGTGGAATTATCATTATATCTGCTAACCTGCAAATGGAAAAATCAAATGGTTTTCCTAAGTCATCAACTAGGTCTCTGGGCCAGGTTTTTGATTCCTATAGATTTCTTTTCCATCAGACTATACTACTTAAAGTTATCGGAATAACAAATGCTGTTCTCTAAGAAAGAAATATTTAAATAGATCAATATGGCAAAGTGATTCACAAGAAATTAATCTTCTAGGTTTAAGATTATCTCTAAAAATATTTTTCATGTTAAGCATTACACAACATCTTTTATTTTAATCACATTTATGAGTATCTTTTGGTCCATCAAGAACCAGAGAAGACTACTGAAGTATTTCTATTTTTTCAATAATAATGAATACTTACAAATTAAAATATCACCAAAGAAAGACTTTAACCAGATTTAAAGACATTTAAATTGAGATATGTGTCATTTTGTTAATTTTGATGTATACTTCAATTGAAAAATACTAATATGACATATAGTGTTCTTTCAAATAACTGGTTGTCTTTTCTATAAATAATAACTCCCCGTTCACTTATTTTAGTTTGGAAACATGGCATTCATTCCACCTTGAATCCATCGCAGCGTCTCTTTTTTCTTTTCCCTGAAGATTTTTCCTCTGCTGTATTATTCAAATGCTGATTTTGGTCCATGATTAAACCACAGATATTATGTGAATGTTTTCAAATGTCGTTGATGCTTTTTAAAAATGATCACCTATCTGGGGAGAAAAAAAAAACAATTTATTTCATCCGAACAATATGCAATTTAGAAGTAAGAAAAGCTGTAACATCAGCATCAACCAATCAGTCAATCAATGATATTTATTCTGAGACTGTTATGTCCAGCCACTCAGCTAAGAGTGTACTGGATACAAACACAGGAAAGAAAAACACAATATTCCAGCCTTGGGAAGATTGTGATTAAGTTAGGGAGATATATTTGGGGGAAGAAACTCAAAAAAATTAAATTGGATAATATAGAATCAAATCCTAGATTATATGAACAAAACTATTAATTTTTGCTAGTATTGGGGATTAAACCCAGCACTTCATGCATGCTCGGCAGGCACTCTACCACTGAGCTATATCCCCAAAACTTCTTAAATTACAGAAATTAAGACTTGAATGTTTTCTACATACATAGATTATAAAATTAACGAAAGCAAACATATGTTTAACTTATAGTTTTGCACAGTGACAAATTGTGCCTTGCATATAATAGGTATTGAAAATGAGGAGAAAGAATCATGTTAATGAATTATAACTAGAATGGCCTAATGTAGAGGAAGTAACTCTGGAACCAGATTCAGAAAGCAGGTAGAATTTGGACTTGTTTAAAAGCACCAAAGTGTACTCCAAGTACCTCTCGGAGACAATGGCCATATTCAATGTACCACTATCATCATCTTACTTTAATTTGTTCTTCTATTTTTCAAGAAAACATATGCATGCAGTTGAAAATGTGAAATATTAAAAATACAAAGACACTTCTTCTCACTCTTGCCTCTTATGCAGAAACATGAAATGCATTTTAATTAAATACAAATGGTATCATATTGTCAATACTGTCCTCTACCTTTTTACTCTGCAGTACATACTTTATTTTAAAGGGGACTAATTTTTCTTATAGCTACAGCATTGCATTATCCATAATATATTTAACTCATGTCAACAAGCAATTACATCTAATTATTTCATATTAGAAAATTATTTTAATATATCATTTTGTTTTATTTATGTATGATATCTGTAGGATTAAACTCCTGTGAGTGGAGTTTGGGGGTCAAAGTCTAAGAGAACTTTTAACTTTGAAAGTTATTAAGCCCCTATTTTAAAGAGTAGTAAAATGAATTAAATTCTGCCTTCAATTCACTCTTTTATGTAGAATAATTTGGTTTTCACTAAGGTTTACAAGATGTAACCTTATTCATACACATTTATGCATCTGAAATATCTATATTGGCAAACACATAAAAGTACAAATATTAAATGATCTTCATAATATACTAATTACACAATGTTTAATAATTGTTATAATTACAGCTGATTTTATTTGTGGTAGTTATGTTCTTAAAGTTCCTGAGAAAACTGAATTGGCAAATACTGAAACACTGTTTCTAGAGGAAATACAGAGTTAGATTTCTGTGCACCTTTGAACACATTTTCATCCACTGATCAATATATACCCTTCTTTGTGTTTATTTCCCTGTGAAGTCACTTTATTTAATGTGTACTCTTGCTTCATTAACATTGAGTCAGTAACCACTAGTAATAGTTCAAGCCTAAAGGAAAATTATTAACATGTGTTTTTTTCTGTCAGGTACTCTTGCACATAGGAATACTAGATAGCATTTTGGCACATTTTAAATAATAAAATGAACAATATAAAGTACAAAATCTCAAAACATGAGTAATAAATAAACTGTGAAAAAGACATTTGTGTACCCTATATGTGCTGAAGCAAAAGGCAAAGCATCATTTTAGACAAACAAGCTGAGAAAATAGGAACTCAGACTTTTCACCACTCTGCATGTATGTCAGTGCTCATGAAAGCCCAGCAGAATTAATTTTGGGGTTCCAAATAAATAGTAGTGAATACAGAAATTTGCTAATGCAGAATTTATGAATAATGAGAATCAACTGTAGATACTACTCATTAATTCAACAACGATTTATTGATTATCCAAAATATATAAAGCACACATAATAATACATATTGAATGAGAAATATATAAATAAATAAATAATATAATTAACATAACATCCAAGATGTTATGAAATATGTATGTGTGAGTATAATATAAGCACATGCATTATAACAGAAACCCATACCTATGTGTATCTAAGTGAACTCCACTTATTCTACTTTTTACATGTGTTCCATGTGTGTTGTACCTGGGTATGTTCAGTTTCTGGGTGGAGTGGCCTGAGCACTAAAATCAATAGATTGGTGGTCTCAAGATCATGGGCAGCTCTTTGATAAATTTTATGCCTTTTTTTCCATAAATATCTCTATTTTTGTCCCTAAAATTTAAATATTAGCAAAGCATTTTTTATCACTTCATTCTACATTTGAAAATCTTTCTGAATTAAAGGTAGAATACAACTCTTCACTTTTAAGCTCTTTTTTTCCCACCAAGGAGTTATTCCTAAAGGCTGGAAGGCTATTGTCCTCCACTCCTACCTGTTTAAGTTTCAATTAACTTCTTCTTGTCCAGTCTGCTGGCCTCCAGTTCATCCCACACATCTCAGGCCTATTCTCAGATTCTTTCAGAGAGGCCTCATACCATACAAAGTAAAAATCATACTTCCTGTCTGAGGCTCTTCACAACCTAAACCCAGCCCTTGTTTTGGTCTCATTTCCCAGTACATCCATAAGCACCATGACACATAGAACCACTGTCCCAAGAAGAAATCTCTCAGTCCTACTGCATGTTTCTACCCAAACTGGAATGTGCTTCCTCACTGCTTGGTTGTAATTCTACCCCAGATCAGACCTCTTCCATATTACACCCACTTGAAGGAATCTCCCACACTGTTGCTCCAGGGGAAAATATACAGACATTATTTTTCTCTGTATTTCCCCTTCTTTCCCAGACAGTAAGTAACTGGTGCACTCTTCTCTCCTGGATCTTAAGATGAAACAGCAAAAAGTTTGATAAGGTAGGAACATTGCTCCTCATTTCTTGCAAAGGTGAAATTGCAACATGGAACTTCACAGGCTTGACTAAATTCCACACATTCTACTGTTAAGCCTGATTTAGAGGTAATTGATTATGTTTTTTTCTTAGCGTATTTTTCTCTGAGTTGAAATTGACTAACATATAAATGAATACTTGAGATGCAGTATGCTCATAAGATAGGGCAACAGGCATCTGACATAGCAAGGCATCTCTTTCCTGAAGACAACAGCCAGTTCTTTCTCACTTGATTGAGGTGGCACAGGGGAGGAGGGCACAACCTTATGGGCCTCTGCTTACCTGTGGCCAGCTTTGACTATTTCAGGGGTCATGGCAAAGGAGTACAGGCCAATTGCCTGTTTCCTAGAATGTGCCTATGGCAGTAAGGAGGAAAAGGGAAACGCAGTACTTCCTAACTTCTTAGACCTTCCATGGGACCTGTGGATCCCCACCTTCCATTGACCATACCAACAACTATCTTTAAGATAAGATAAAATCACAAATAGGGAGTCCACTCCAAGGATTCTATGCAGTTGATGAAAACAAATATCTTATATCACATTTTTAAAAGGCAATTAGAAGCCTCATATTTCAGACTTGAAAATCCCTTAGTCTAAAAAGTAATGGGACTAGAACTTCAAACTTTATTTTAAAATTATACAATTTAAGACTCCATTAACCTGAGGCACATCTCTCTCCAGAAACGATAGTTAATTGGTTTTGAGGGCTTAGAACAAAAGTGTATAAAAAACAAAGAACATAAAATTTGTAGTACGTATCATGACCACTAAATCTTTTTTATTTTTTTACAATTTATAGAAATTTTTTATATAGAAGAAATGTTGAAATTCAAAAAGTCAAAGGTTCCTACCTGAATGTAGAATCCTACAGCAAATGGAACAAGTGATCCTCAATCTACTGTTCAAGTCCCTCTTTAAATACTTTTTTTTTCTTTTTTTGTCAGTTCAGTGATGATTAACCATCATGTTAGGTCATTGTGCTAAACAAACAGAAGAAAATTACAACTATTTCTAGGTGTTCACTCCAGACTTATATTTTAAAGGCCACATTAATACAATCTGAGAATTTATACATTTTGTTAATGTTATTTTATAAATCTTTATTTCTGGGAATGACTTATAACTGTTTTTTCAATGAACTTGGTTACATAAGACCTTTTCTTTAGAGATAAATTCATCATATTATTTAAGGTACTTAAAATTTTTCCACACAGAAAACAATTCAAGGCAATGTTTAAAATGTATCTACAGGTTAAATTAGCATTCAAAAATATAAAATATACTCTTTAAGCTTATACATGGAGAGGGTTATAATATGTAGGGACCCTGAATGTCCCACATGGAATAGTAAGGCACCCATTAATTACCAGATGGTTCTCCTAAGTGACATGATCAATACTGTTTTGCAGGAAATATTCCTCACTTCAAAGCCTGAAGAAAGAATGGCATAATGAATGCTTTCTTTCTTTCAAATATTAAATTGGTTTTTGAAAAGGGAAAGGCTTGACTAAAATGAGACTCTTTTTCTTTTAATGGAGATGAAACTTAAATAATTAATTTAATAGCTCAAACACTTCTTGATTCCCTAGTAGCTCAGGCATGGGGCTCTGTTTTGGAAATGTACTAATATAAATAAGGTACAGACCCTTCTTTCGCGTATGTATGTGTAGATGGGGGTAAAAATAGATCATTATACAGATATATAGATGCATACATAAACATTAACTTTTCACTCTGGCAGGAAAACTGTTGGTACAGTGTACTTAATTTCTTTGTTTCAGTTATTTGATAGCTCAATTTTTTAGTCTTAGATATATATAAATCATAAAAATATTCAAATGGGCATGGTGGTATACACCTGTAGTCCCAACAGCTCAGGAGGTTGAGGGTAGGAGAACTGGGAGTTCAAATCCAGCCTCAGCAACTTAGCGAGACCTTAAGCAATTTAGGG